CTCATTGAACAAGCTCTAAACTAATTCATCAGCAGGCCACAGGAACCTTCTGTTCTATATTTGCAGTTCATTCTCTCTCTTGTTGAGTCTGCTTCATTAAAAACAGGCACATTTTTCATTGTATCAAACACTGTATGCTTTTAACCGCGCAAATACCGACATGTCACCATTGACCTGCAATTGGTCAGATGTAAGTCCTCCAACAATCATACCAATAAAACTGTTAACAAACAATTTCCTTTACTACCAAGCACATAAAATGCTAAATAAAGAAATTAATACTAAAAAAATAACAAATGCAGAACGCATCATTGTTCAAAATTGACTGACGACATGTCAAATGTCAGTCGTCTGTGCAACAGTCTTGATGAGGTAAAAGCCAACAAAGCATTTTCAATTGGTCACAAATATTTTCCTGGTCGGTGCTCGAGCTTCCAAGCACCCAATGAATCGTTGCCCATGTTTTGGGGAATATGCATATTTACTTTCTTGAAAAGAGTCAGTTGAGAAAACTGATACCACTCTCATGTCTGTACAATATAAAGCTGTTTGGGTTATTATAAATCAGCCTCCCATTCCAAGATATGGTTTGACATGCCATAAAACTATTTTACACCTCCATTTTTGTACGGATTTAACAAATGAGATGTATTAATAGATACTCCAGCTCAAACTCTTGGACAAATCCAGATTAGTTGTCTCCCACTGTTTTCAGGCCTCATTTTAAGCTAAACTAGTGGGCTGCAGTTTCGTTTTTGAACAGCCTGGTATGAGAATAGTATCAGTCTCATGTAAATGCAACCATTTTTCTCAATATGTTGAACTATTCCTTCAATTCTGTCACTGTCATCTTCTGACATTTGCTGCTCTAAGAAGCTTTACTGCAGTTATATTTAATGTAATTGCTGAATGTATTAAAAGTATTTTGAAACAAGCAAATTTTCTGCCTCAAAACAACTAAAGGCAAACATGGCACAGTAGTGTTTGTGTCGCTCTCTTTTAGCTCCATTTTTGGTCTCCACCAACTCCTGTGGCAAAAATCTGGTCCTAAATGCTGCAGTCTGTTCACAAGCTACTTCACTTTTTCTGTTCGTTTGGCGCTGAGCAGCAGCACTACAGCAGGTTTTAAAATCTTTTTTTGAATTAGACAGTGAACTAAAACTCACCATGAATCTCCATAAAGCTCAGAGGAGCTGCAGATTCTGAAATAACTCCTTTAATATTATCACCTTGTCATTTAATACACTGTTACCGAAGGAATATATATTCTAGCTGCTTTAAATCAGTGCAGACTGTTGTCTCTCTCTCATCAGACGGACCAGTGCACAGGCCTGCAGGGCTTCCTCGTCTTCCACAGCTTTGGAGGAGGGACTGGCTCTGGCTTCACCTCTCTGCTGATGGAGCGTCTGTCTGTAGACTACGGCAAGAAATCCAAGTTGGAGTTTGCGGTGTACCCAGCTCCCCAGGTGTCTACTGCCGTGGTGGAGCCCTACAACGCCATCCTGACCACCCACACCACCCTGGAGCACTCTGACTGTGCCTTCATGGTTGACAATGAGGCCATCTACGACATATGCCGACGCAACATGGACATCGAGAGTCCTGGTTACATCAACCTCAACAGATTGATCGGTCAGATAGTTTCCTCCATCACCGCCTCCCTTCGTTTCGACGGCGCCCTCAATGTCGATCTCATGGAGTTCCAGACCAACTTGGTGCCATATCCTCGTATCCACTTCCCTCTGGTGACTTACTCGCCCATCATCTCTGCTGAGAAGGCGTACCATGAGCAGCTGACCGTGTCCGAGATCACCAGCGCATGCTTTGAACCGACCAATCAGATGGTGAAGTGTGATCCCCGTCACGGCAAATACATGGCCTGCTGCCTGCTGTACCGAGGCGATGTCGTGCCAAAGGATGTAAATGCTGCCATTGCAAACATAAAGACCCGACGTTCCATTCAGTTTGTCGACTGGTGCCCCACTGGCTTCAAGGTGAGTAGCACATGGAGGTGAGGGGTACAATTTGAGATGCGTTTCTACTGAATATTCTCTTTGTCTCGACAGGTCGGCATTAATTACCAACCACCGACTGCTGTTCCTGGTGGAGACCTGGCTAAAGTCCAGAGGGCTGTGTGCATGCTGAGCAACACCACTGCTATTGCTGAGGCCTGGTCTCGTCTCGACCACAAATTTGACCTCATGTACGCTAAGCGTGCATTCGTCCACTGGTATGTGGGCGAAGGAATGGAGGAGGGAGAGTTCGCAGAGGCCAGAGAGGACCTGGCCTGTCTGGAAAAAGATTACGAAGAGATGGGCCAAACGAATCCCGATTCTGAAAATGATGAGGATGAATGCTAATCTTGAGGCCTTAGGCTGAGCTAGTAAAGCAGTTATTGTCTCCTTATTTTTTTTTCTTCTAAGCTAGAGTTAACCAAAGTAATGACATGTCTGTGTGGATTCTCAGTCATCCAGGTCATGATAATCCTAAGAGCTTTGGCTAAAGGTGACTGGATTTCACTTTGAGAGCTGAAAAAGCCTCTCCAACAAGAGATGAACATCTTCAGGAACCAAAAAGAGAGGTCCAGATGCTTTTTACTGCAGCTCTTAGGACAAAGCAATGACCTTTCTCACGGCCTTGTTTTTTATAGTACTTGCTTTAGATTCAAAGATCAAAGTTGGGTTTGAATAGTAGTCTGAAATAAAGCTTGTCTCGATATATTGTGTGAAACGTTTTACAGACACAGTGGTCCAAGCGCTCTAAGACGGTAACTTGCATTTACCACAAGACCATTAAAAATCCTTCAGGGGATCTTTGTTGCATGCTCCCCCTCCCCCTCCTCTGCTTACATTTCCTGTCTGCATATTACAGAATAAAACCAAACACTTCAAGACCAATGTGCAAGCTAACTGATTAAAATAAGCTATTATCAAACAACATGGTTGTTTTTTTCAGATCTGACTACATCCTTGAAAGTTCACCCAAAATGCACTTTTTGGATTTTTCTCCAGTAAACTTTAAAGGTGGTGACGGATGTCCGCTCTCCCTGAGCCTGGTTCTGTGAGAGGTTTCTTTCTGTTAAAAGGGGCTTGTTTCTCTCTACTGTCACTGATATGATGCTCAAAGGGAATCTTTGAATGGGTTGAGTTTTCAATGTGTAATTTTGTAGGGTTTTAACCACATTTTTTCAGTTAGTAAGGTCCATTTGCATCCTGTGCAACCTGAATATTTAATTTAGTCAAGTAAATTTGCATATTTGCCAACCTCAACATTTAAATCAGTCAGGTACATTTGCACAATACGTATTTGTAAGGTTTTAATTATATTATTAAGGTTAGTCAGGAAAAGTTGTCATTTATATAATATTGTAGGGTCTTAGGTCAGTAAACACTTAGGTTAGTCAGAAACATTTGCATAATTAATGATATTGTAGAGTTTTACCTTTAGTATGTTAAATTTGCATGAATCATAATATTGTAGGGTCTTGACCTTAATATTAAAATTAAACTGTCAAATTTGCATAGCTAATAATATAGTAGTATCATAACCATAATGCTGAAATTACAGGAAGTAATTTTGCATAATTAATATTATAAGGGATTTATCTTATTAATTGATGTGTTGTTTTAAATGTGCTACATAATTTTTTTATTTTCGAAAGCATCCTTACTAAATCAGCGAAAAGAGACATGAGGGCTACTTTGTCTGCACATAAGATTTTTTGTTAGTTTGTTTTAAATGAAGAAGAACCGTGTTGTAGTTTTAATGAGTACTTCCTGTCTCTGGGGGCTCTGTGGGTCCGGGCTGAGTACAGTAGCAGCAGCTGACGGTCTGCAGCTCAGCAGCAGATGTTTGAAAACCTTCAAACGTCCAATCAGACGGACTATTTAAACAACGAGTCCCGGCAGCCGTGAAGGTGTCACCTGCACATATCCATCCGCGGGAGTGTAAACACAAGACAATCTACAAAGAAGAGGATTGTTTCACTGACTGTCATTTACATTTACTCGCTCCACCTGCCAGCATGGTTCCTCATTCTATCCACGACTACATTCTATTTATTGTAGGCTCTTGGTCAAGTGGAGGGGGAAAAAAAATCAAGAGTTGCTGGGGTGTTGTTCGATTTGAGGCCTGTGGACATCATGGTCGCCTGTAGACTGCAGGATCATAAGGTTCCTCTGCATTACATTTGGACACACACTGAGGAAACACTAACATAAAAATCCTGCATTCAAAGTTTTGCATAAGTAGAAAAACAAGACATCAAAATAATCTGTAACTTTAGTTAGTTATTAAGCATCCATAACGCAGGATGTGACGTAAATGTAAGTTACATCTAATGTTGTGTAGAATTTCATATTATTTTGTATGGGTTTCACATTTTTAACAGTGTTAGTGTTAATGTCAATCATCATTAAGTTTGCTGTAAATTGCTTAAATTTTTCTGCCATCAGTTTGCAGAATAATGACTCCTGAATCTACAACTTGACTGCATCATTCTTTCCCCCCAGATTTTATTTGTAACATACATCAAGAAAACTAATTTTATAATCAAAATTTAAAACAAACAAGCAAAAAAAAATAAAAAAAGGCTCTCTATACACATGGTCACTGTTAGTGATTATATAACATGACTGCATTCTTATCATCTGACACATTTAAAAACTGATGCGTTTTCATGTATACCATTTTAATTTGGCAACCGTGGGGCTGATAGTGTAAATCAATACAACTTTATCTTATGGAACCTGTAATTATATATTGAACTGTTGCCAATTTGTTGATCACATTATGCATTACTAATATGATTAGTAAAGCAATACTAGCTTGTGATTTGTAGAGGAGTAAAGGCAAGAATAAAGTGGAAGAAATACAGAAGTACACATATCACAAAAACACAAAATACTGTACTAACAATAATAATCATAATATTAAGAATGATAATAACAACTTGTTTTTGTAGCACTTTTTAAAACAAGGGTTTACCAAGTAAGGTGACAGACAAAGAAGGTACTATGATAGTAAACATCTAATATTTAGGTGTCCTTTTCAAGGTGTCAGTTAAGTCTGGAAGACCACGTGTAATTATAATTACTCTTTTTAATTGATTTATTAATCATATATGATTTGCAGGTCTTGATTTTGGCTGTAGCATGATGCACTTTAAACCAAAGGCTGCACATTTAGACACCAGTGGAGCTCCATCACCAGTCTAACAGTAAAATGGATTATATGCTGCTCCAGAAACACTGAACTGTGAGTTTGATAGCATGAATTCAAAAACAGCATCATGGGTTCTTTATGTGCATTAGGGTGCAATGAAAAAGTGTGGTTTATTGCACTGCAAATCGGAAACCGTGTCCAGCCCTGGTTACTGATTAATACCAGCAAACACCGAGGAGACTCAGAAATCCCAGAGGCATTCATAAGAGCGGAGCGGTGTCTAGTTTTTCGGGCGGACGTGCTCACTGCCTTGGAACATTCTCTCCACTGTGCGTGGATGTGTGTGTGTGGATGTGTGTGTAAGCTGCCTCCTCTCGTGTTGATGTCGTCTGACTGCCACCGACCGTGACGGTGAAAAGACAGGATTTTAAAAAAACAGAAAAAAACAAACACTCCCGGAACACCGTGCCGCACCGATACGGTGACCTGCGCTGTCCGAGCTTCCACCGGGTCGGTCCGAAACGATGAGCCAGCCTCGGCCGGACGAGTTCGAGCCTCCTCCGGAGTGCCCGGTCTTCGAGCCCAGCTGGGAGGAATTTCAAGATCCTTTTACCTTTATCAATAAGATCCGTCCCATCGCCGAGAAAACGGGCATTTGCAAAGTCCGGCCGCCTCCGGTGAGTGCGAGAAAAGATGATAAAACGAGCCGCGGATGCTGAATTAGTCCACCGTTGAGACGGAGCGAGCGCTGGGGATTTAAAGGGACTGTTCAACATGGCGGATACACTGCTGTGTTAATTCTTTGTGCTGCCGCCGCTAGCTACCTCGCATTTATTCTTATTTACGCGGTAGCTTCGCTGTTTTGGTCGAATTTAAGGTCGCCAGCAGCCACACAGACGTGTCAGTGCATTTGAAGTGGATTATAGTCGTGGTCCGCCGTGTGTCAACAAAGCTTCTCCGCTCCGGTCATTGAGCGACTTAGCTGGCATGCTAACGCTAGCTAACAGCTCAACCTGTCATAATTTAGCTCCGCTTTGACATAGGTGGCTATGCGGAAGCCATTCGGCTGCGTAGAAGATGATGATAATGATGTGATCCTGTGATTGACGTCGATATTAAAGCTGCTTTTATCCCGTTTGTTCCTACATGTCCTGACAGCACTGAAGTTGCCATTAATTATGGATTATTTGTCGGAGAGCATCATGAAGCAGTCAGTGTGTGGTCCTTCACTTTTCGGTCAATTTCTAAAGAGCAGCTCAGCCAGAGGAGTGTATTTATTTCATGGGCCAGTACAAATAATCGCAATATTACCTTTATGCCCAAGTGTCAAATAATTTTCCCCATGATGGGACAAAAGGTACACTGGGTTATTTAATCACCAAGACTGCTCTGGTTAAATAACAAGTCGTGACTTTTGAAGTTGTGGTCAAATCCGCCATGTTGCACAGCATTGCAGCTTTGGTGCACGATATTAAAAAATTGACTTTCTTGAGAATGAACAACTGTTCATGTATGAGCCTGTGTTGTAGGGTGTTGTCCTCCATGTTGGCTTTGTGGTAAGCTGGGCTGGTGAGTGAGTCTTCCATCTGGCCATTTTGTGTGCCAGTGGGGGATGTTGGCTACTGACTTAAAACAAAAACTTGGGGCCCTGCTTGCATGATGGAGTGTTTTCATTATACATGCTTGGCTGTGTGTGCTGTTGACACAATTATTGACCGCTGTTGTGAGTTATAAACTAAAAAGGAGCACTGTATGCTTTCAGTATCAGCAGGCCTTGCTTTTCTGCCTAACTTGAATCCAACATCAGTTTAAAAACCTGCAGCAGTGTAACAATATGGCTCTTTTGTCTGACTAACTCCACTTTAGTTAAGTCACCATGGGCAAAAAAAATTGAAATTTTCCTTAATTTGGGTTTGTAAAACAATAGCCACAAGTCAAACAGTCTTTACATGAAAAGCAAATAGCCATGGTAATGATACAAATTAAGACCAGACTGTAAATCATAAAAACTGCCCGCTATGTAACTACCGAGGCTACCTGATATGATGACCTTCATGTGCCATCGTGTGTATTTTTGTTGCTGTTTAGGGTTGGCAGCCTCCGTTTGCTTGCGATGTTGACAGGCTTCACTTTGTTCCTCGGATCCAGAGGCTCAATGAGCTGGAGGTGAGCTTTGTTAGTCTGATTATACCAGCATTTACTTGACTGTATCATCTGTCTTTGCATTAACTCACTGAAATTGTGTCCTATTTTTACCTGAATAATGTAGATGCTAGGTCTATGCAGGCTACATTAATAGCAACTATGGAATGAAGAACAGCACTGCTATTAATGCCTTGTAATAATGTTGTACAACAGAGGATAAATTGTGAGTTTAGGCAGGAAATTGTAAGGCTTATTTGTTACCTAATCAAAATTGTACAAAATCAGCAAATGTATATATTTATTTATTTTAAAACAATAGAACAACATGCCTGTTCAGATTTTTTTTTTCTTCAGTCATTGTTTGATGTTGCTGGAATGCCTTCCTCGATTACCTTCATTTATTTATAGGTGACTGTTGTCTTTGCTGACATCTTTTCTCAGGCACAGACCAGAGTCAAGCTCAACTTCTTGGACCAGATTGCCAAATTTTGGGATTTGCAGGGATGTGCCCTAAAGATACCTCATGTGGAGAGGAAGATTTTGGATTTATATAAGCTGAATAAGGTTGATAATTTATTGAACTATGCTTTATATATTTCTCTAAAAATGCACGAGAACTCCTCATTGATGCAACTTTCTGTCATTTCAGCTGGTAGCTGATGAGGGTGGATTTGACATTGTCTGTCAGGACAGGCGATGGACCAAGATTGCACTACAAATGGGCTTCGCCCCTGGCAAAGCTGTTGGCTCACACCTGCGAGGGCATTATGAGAGAATCCTTTATCCCTACAATCTGTTTCAGAATGGCGCAAACTTGCTGGTGAGTTAGACGCATGCACATTTGACATTGTATCTTGTTTGTGATGAGTGAGAATCTCTAAGCAATTTGCTAATAATGCAAACCATTAATGTTACCATCAAAGTTATATTACAGATCCAGTTTTGAAACATTTGTTTTGAACTTTGAGCAAGAAGCATTTAGTTCTACAAACAATTTGAAGGCAATATGGGTAGCACTTAGACCATAAAGGCAAATGAAAACAAGTGCATTATTAGTATACGCATGCTCTGTGTTAAACTACAATTTCTATATATGTTGTATGTTATTTTATTTTGAGATCAGCTGAAATTCTGCAGTATTTTTTAAGTTAACTCTGTTGCCTGACTAATATCCTAAGAGTGAATTTATGATCTTGTCATTTAATTGCATTTGCACCCGAATATTGCGAAACATGCTGCAAGAGAGCTTATCCAAGGTCATTGAATTGGTAGTGTGTGACCTCTTCATCAGGTCACTCTAAATTGTTTAATTACCAAAGCTCTCTCTTGCCTCAGGCACCAGATCCAGCTTCCAAACTGATGCGTTTGGAGGCTGATCCTGAACTTGAAAAGGTATGTTTGTGTCACGGTTAAGAAGCCACTCGGCAAAATGCATGTTTATATGTGGCTGAGCAGTATAAAGAATTTTCAGCTTAATGGGGTCATATTTGCATTTGACATTGGAAATTTAACAAATTATTTTTTATTTAAGTGATGCCAGTTCAGGTTATCTTCACTTCTAAATTGTCATTTGCATTCAACAAGTATCTTGGGGACAAATGTAGAAGTACAGTTCTTTGTTTTTTGTAACAGGCAACGACTGGGTGATGCGTTCAGATATTTTCAAAAATGTCTCTGTCCGTCTGTTGCAGTCTTACTGTAATCATAGTGAACAAACAAGAAATAACGCTTGTAAAGACACAGCAGTTCTTTGACAGTTTTGAAGTCCAACCTTTCTCTGTGAGGAAGATAATGCGGTGCTGAAATGTTTGTTAATGGAATCTAGTTTTTTCTGCATCAGAAGACTCCTGCCTCTTTACAAGTATTTTTGCTTGTTTGCTTTCTACAATTGTTGTGGTGTCTTGTGCAGTTTAGCACACCTCCTTGCAGTTTTGAGCATGTTATCTACACAGCTACTGCCAGGATTAGTTCAGTTGCACAGTCAAATGCAACTCCAGTTACCTGTGAACCACTGCATCAGCTCCTATCTGTCCTTTTCTTTGATTTGGTATGCTTCTGTGCTACTTCTTTGTGGGTGACAAACTAACCACATCCTTTCGATGGCCTTTTTGTTTATAGCTGTGAAAGTTGAAACAACGTAAAGACCAACTGTTGTGTTTAATAGCACATGTCCCAGTCTTTCAAACACATTTGGTAGCTGCCAGTACTTTCAAGTTACTGTTCTATTTATTATGTGACCAGGAAAGTCAGAATCATATATGAAGATTCCTTAAATGTTTGCAGTGGTATGCTCACTTTTCTTGTTTTAGACTCCTAAAACTATCCTCTCTGCATTTACGATTTCATATTTTATCCAGCATTCCACTAATATTTTACTGATTGTTGAGTGTGCAGGTATTTCCAGTTAGGCCCACAACTGCTGTTTAATTGTAGTTTGTAGTTTTGGTTTTAAGTTGCTCAATGTTTTCCTTACAGTTTGTTCAGAAGCCTGTCCAGCCAGTGGAGATTGCGGCAGTCAAGGAGAGCCTGGACACCAAGGAGCACAAGCTACAGGACCAGGCTCAGAGGCAGCCTGTCCAGACGCCTGACACTTGCCCCAGTGCTCGCAGAGCCAAGCGCATGAAGTATGAGGTGGGAATCACAAACAGCTGACTGAGGCTACATCCTTTACTTTTTTTTTCTTTTAATACAGCATTTAAAAGGAAAATGTTCTCCTTCCAATCCATCAGTCTCCCTGTATACTACTGTGCATGAAAAGGCATGCCACCTGAATGTTCATGGCCCCTAATTATGTACATACCAGTGTAAACATGAGGCGCAATGTTGGCTGCTTAGAAAATACTACATGGAAGACCTACAATGGGGAAAAGAAAGCCCACTGATTTATCTTAACTGTCCACCAGCTGCTTGCGTAGACAACAACGCCTGTAGCCTAATACGTTATCTATATCGAATGAATCACTGGTAGTAAAGGCATATGTCTTTGTTTTTTTCCCTTGAAAATAGTCATGTGACAGGAGCATGTTGAATCAGGGAGCGAACATAGTGACAGTAAGTCCCAGTAAGAAAGTGGGTGTTTGCTTTATCGTTTCCAAAGTTCACTGTTTTTGCTCATCCAGAATAAACCACCAGTTTTCAAACTAAAACAGGCTCAGCAGCATTTCCAAAATCCCCTGTTGTAGGCATCATTAAACTCTAGAGCAGGGGTGTCCAATCCTGGTCCTCGAGGGCCATGGTCCTCCATGTTTTAGATGTTTCCCTCTTCCAGCACACCTGATTCAAATGATCAGGATCGTTATCAGGCTTCTGCAGAGCTTGATGATGAGCTGATCATTTGAAGCAGGTGTGTTGGAAGAGGGAAACATCTAAAATATGCAGGACTGTGTCCCTCGAGGACCAGGATTGGACACTCCTGCTCTAGAGTACTGTTGTTGCTCAGTGTAAATGTAGCAGAAGTTACGTGTTCTACAATGAAAACACATTCATGTGGATGTAGCCTAAAACTGCCCTGAAACTGGCAGCACAGACCTCACTTTTCAATGCACAGTTCCCACATTTCCCCACTGTCATCACAATTTTAGTAGTTTTAAGTCGTCACCAGTTTCACTTCTAACTTTTTTTGTAGGCCATCTGTGTGAAAACCGAACCAGGTGAGCTCGGTGAGAACAAGCCCAACCTGAGGCGGAGGATGGGTTCTTTTGTCGCCAAGCCAGAGCCAGGTCAGACTCCACATCACAGAGTGAAAAAACAGATTCTCTAATGACATTTGCAGCATTTACATTAACAATTACAATCGGTTAGCATCATGTAAATATTACAATACAGTTTTTATGCACTATAATGTAGCTGTAAGCAGAGATGAATGTTCAGTAAATATTTTTTTCACTGGTTAAAGCTCCTTCTGTGGACACTGATAAGTGGATTCTGGTGTATAAACAGTGAATGGATGACAAAACATAGCTGTAATTGCATAAGCTATGTCATCATATGAGTTAGAGTGAAGTTGTCACTGTCGACAAAGGCTGTGTCCAAAATCATCCACTCACTCAACTATAACTTAACATTCAGAAAGCGCTGCACAATGGTGAACACCCTATATAGTGCACTGTAGAGGGTATCATGAGTGATTTTGGACACAGCCAAAGACAAAATTAATGCAGCATGTAAAAACGTCCTTACATATGCTTACAAGTCACGTAAGCGTTATTAAGGACTATGCTTTTATATGATTCTTATAAATGGGTTTAAAGATTTTATATTTTCCTGTAGAAGACAATACTAACGTCCTTGGTAATGATGTCATGGTGTAAGTAACGTTTCATGTTGCCTTTCAGAAAAAGAGATTCCCATTCCAGTGAAACAGGAACCAGTTGAATTTAAGGAACCAATAATTGAACCTGACAAATTCAAGTCACGGTACAAGAAAATGATCCCTCCAGTTCCTCCAAGTCCAGTAAGCAGAAACTCTCTTTGACTGAGATTTAAGCTGTATGAGATATGAAACCTCTTGATTATAGGTTCATGGGTTAGTCAGACCCACACTAAGATTGAACTTTTTAGCAAACCTGTTCTGTTACATATATATATCTCCTTAGTAAACTTAAAATAATAGATCTTTAGGATCCCCATGTCTTGGGGTTTACAAGTGTGTATGAATAGTACGTAACAGCCACAACAAAATTAAACTTGACATTTACAGCTTGATGTAACTCCATAAACTGAAAGAATAAAAAATGACAAGGAGAATGTAAAAAAAAAAAAGGCAGTTAGAACATGTTTGAGCTACTACACCAGGCTCAGTTTCAAAACTATAAATTTATGGGAGAGAATCTGTTTCACATGTATTTTTAAACTCTTTATGCTCATAATAAATTTTGTAGGTGTTGAAGACAGGATCCAATTTGTATAAAACACAGTTTACAGTCTCTGCCATCTTTCATTTCTGTCTTGAAGTTGCTTTTGTCAGTCATCTCAGCTCCCATTATAAACTACTCCTTTTGTTGTGCAGGTGGATCTGGTTGTGTGTCTGGTGTGCGGCAGTGGGGGAGATGAAGACCGTCTGTTGCTGTGTGACGGCTGTGACGACAGCTACCACACCTTCTGCCTGATCCCTCCTCTGCATGACGTTCCCAAAGGAGACTGGAGGTGCCCCAAGTGTCTCGCTCAGGTGAGGAGAAACTGAAAATCAGAGTAATGACTGGTGGTTATATTAAAGGGGGGTGGGGTTATCATGCATATTTACAGGTCTAAATATTTATTCTAGGCCTCTCTGGTACATTTTGCATGATTTCTGGCTTTAAAAACTTTTTTAAATTGTCCGTTTCCTTTTTATGAACATTCAGCATCTTCTCTCTGAACAGTGCGTTTTAGCTCCTGTCTCTTTAAGGCTTCTCTCCCAGAAAACCTGTTATGTTGATTAGAATCAGCAGCTACAACAGCAAACAACAGTTTAGTTTTACTTTTGTTCTTGCTTTTTACTCAAATTGTCAACATTTTTAATATACCCACATATGCATGATTCAAAATATGCAACTGGACAATGTCAGCAACCCACTGAACAATCTTAGCAACAGCTCATATGACTGTTTGTGAGCAGCTGATGCCAGCTTGTTTTAGGAAGTAGAGGTAACATTGCCAACGAGGAAGGGCCAGTTTTTGGTATAGGTCACCAAGGCAACACCAGCAGGAGGAATATTTTGTCATAAAGCCCTGCTCACAATGCACTAAATACCTGATACCCAAAGGAGACGACAGACAATCGTAGAACTCTCTGCTGGGTGCTGACTCTCCCATAACCTGCTGCCTTTATGCTTTACCCAGTGATTTATTTCCTTTCACCACTGTAAAAGAATCACGTATGATTAACCAGGTTGCTGATATTCCGTGTAAACATTATGATGTGATCTGCAATGAGATAATTTTATAACCAGGCAATACAGCATGTGCGCAGGTGTGTCCTCAAATCAAGTCACGTAGTCAGTGAGGGCAGCAGAATAAAGCCTGTATTGAGGAACAATGATCTATGATGTCAGTTTTTTTTTCCTCCTTTTTTTGTGTTAGGAAACTGGGGTCAAAGCACAGGGTCAGCCATGATAAGGCAGGGAGGGTTAAGGGCCTTGCACTATCATTCCATGGTGCCGTACCTCAGTAGTGCTAGGGCTTAAACCCTTAACCTTCTGATTAGTAGCCAGAAGCCTTAAACACTGAGCCGCCCCCACCAATCCATAGTCATAGCTTAGCAGCTGTAAATCAATATGTTTGGGCCCACGACGACAGCTGTCACAATCACCCTACTCCACTGAAACGCTCTCAAGACTTTGTGAGCCAGTGACCCACTAAATCATAAAATATATGGAGAAAAAAAAATAGTACAGAAAACTGTAGAATTAGGAGTTATTTTGTAGTTTGCAGGTCTTGGTGTGTATGGGGTAAAAAACAAAAGTGTTGCCCCTTTTCTTTTTTAAGATCTAAAATTCATACGTTCAAAGGATAAATTGATCATTCATGAAACGTTTGTGTTTTTAAATTTTTTAAAGCACCAATGTAGTTATCAGAAAAGCAAGCAGACTGTCGTTTCTATGTGAGGAAACTGTACCCTTATGGCTACATCCTTCATCATTTCTACGGACATGGTGAATAATCAGGGCTGCACTTTTTTACATTATTCAACGTTTTTGAAATCACTTTTGCTTCTCATTTATTAAAAAGACAAAAAAATATGGGGTGAAAAACAATATAATATTTTTTATTAAGGGGAAAATAATAATTATGGGTCTGTCACTGCTTTAGCATTGCAGCTTGAATACGATGCTGTGTGTCTGTATGGTCAATAGAACCTAGAGTTTCAATCATCTGGCAGTTATTTGGCAACATAAATTGGATTGTCAAGTTATTTTCTTGACAGACATCTAACTTTTTGTGCCCTTTAAAATGATCCGAAAAATCTGATGAGAAGAAGTGAGAAGTAAGAAAATAAGTGTAATGTAAATATGAGTATGGAAAAGAATGGAATTACATAGGAACTGTGGTAACAGCAGAAGCAGTGAATGGAGCGAGTTAGTGATTGTTTTGCATCTGTTTCAGTGATATTTAGTCTGTAAATCAAACTCTAAACTGCTGCTGTTAGTTTCTCATTTTGTCAGTGATGAGGACTAAATCCTGTCCAGATGATTCACACTGACATCCTCTCTCTCAGTTTAGATATAGAAATTTGTGCTTAAAGTTCTTTAAATAAGGAAATAAAAATAATAAAATTAAATAATGCTTCACTTAACATGGTCAGGAAGCTATACAAAAAATAAAAACAAAAAACAGACTAAAAATGACTCTAAAAGCTGTTGAGCTGCTTCCAAACATAGTTTGTATGTTAATATTAAACCTGTGTTTATATTTGCCCACAGGAATGCAACAAACCTCACGAGGCATTTGGGTTTGAACAAGCTTACAGAGACTATTCCCTTCGTGCGTTTGGACAAATGGCAGATGCATTTAAATCTGATTACTTCAACATGCCAGTTCATGTAAGTATTAAAGGTTTCAGCATAAATCTGTCAGTCTCTATTGCTTTGACTATTTTAAATAAAAATGTCTAACTTCTTTATTGCAGATGGTACCCACGGAGCTGGTGGAAAAAGAGTTCTGGCGTTTGGTTGGAGCCATTGAGGAGGATGTTACTGTTGAATATGGAGCAGACATCGCCTCAAAGGAGTTTGGGAGCGGATTTCCCATTCCAAATGGAAAATTTAAGGTTTCCCCAGCAGATGAGGTATGCCCCTGAAATAAGCCTTTCAAAACCTCCTTTTCATCTGTGTAATCATGTTGTAAATTGTTATGTCTTTTGACTGTCTTTCATGGCATCAATCTGTCATAATATTAAGGGGTATATATATTTTGTCCTGATCTGAGTGTGTCATTCCTTCTGCAGAAATACCTCAAATGCGGTTGGAACCTCAACAACCTGGCGATGATGAACCCGTCTGTACTGACTCACGTAACAGCTGACATCTGTGGGATGACGCTGCCATGGCTTTACGTTGGCATGTGCTTCTCCTCCTTCTGCTGGCACATTGAGGATCACTGGAGCTACTCCATCAACTACCTGCACTGGTAACAGAAATCTTCTGATACTGAAGCTCTGCTACTTGTACAGATTTATTTTGGGTTGTGTAGCTAAAAAATATCAAGATTTTGTTTGCTCCTAATTTTTGGCCCGACAGCAGTAAACTCATGTTTATTTTATTTACCACAAGGGGGGAACCTAAAACCTGGTATGGAGCACCTGGTTTTGCTGCAGAACAGCTGGAGGAGGTGATGAAGAAACTGGCCCCCGAGCTGTTCGACTCCCAACCCGACCTGTTGCACCAGCTGGTCACCATCATGAACCCCAACACCTTGATGGCACATGGAGTCCCAGTACGTCTTTACTTGGCTGCTTTACATTTAAATGAACAGTGAGCTAGCCTTTCTAACCTGGTGCTCTTTTGTCTAATCTCTGTCTCAGATTTACAGAACAAACCAGTGTGCTGGTGAGTTTGTCATCACATTTCCAAGAGCTTATCACAGTGGCTTCAATCAGGGCTTTAACTTCGCTGAGGCGGTCAACTTCTGCACTGTGGACTGGGTATGTATCGCTTTATTTTAGCTGCACTACACTACAGATGGCTATGTTTTCAGATGGAACAGCACATTGCAAATGATTAGTTCAAGGACTGCTGGAAAGCTAAAATCCAACAATTCTTTCTGTTTTCACGATTACTGGTTCCGAGAAAAAGTTTAATTTTGGCAATTGTTTTAAAAATAACATGCCCTTCAAATCCGTCAGCAGATTTTGGGGTTTTTGAATTAGGAGCCATTTCAAACTATTAACCCTCAAAGGTCTGTTTTGGCCGTTTTTGCATACTTTTAGTTTAGTCTTTATATACCACATAGAAACATGTTTACGATGCCCATGTTTGGTATCCTTTTTTTCAGCACAACATCACATATATGATCTGATTATTATTTTTATATTATTTTTTTTAACCTTCTATAGTAACATTTTAAAAAATGTATTATTTATTGCAATAAAAAAACACAAACATGCTTAACGAAGCATTTTGAAAGTTGAAAATGTGACTGTAGGTTGCAGATATGAACATGAAAAGGTACATTTGATGTAGAATCAAAATAAATACAAATATTTGCAACTATATACAAAGCAGGTGTGGCTTTCTTTTTATTTATGCCACTCCTGAAAATAGTTTCTATCCAGAATGAGGCAGACAGCCACATAACAGGATTTGCACTTCCAGGGACTTTCTTTCACTTTCGTTTTGCAAAACAAAAGAAAATGGTCTATCAACGTGAAACAAAAACTGGGGGAGAGTTTGAAGTCTGCACTTTTGAGTGAAGATGACAGCATCGCCGTACGTGCGCTAGTTTTTCTGCTGCGACGTCCCAAAAATGTCATATGATTATATCACACCAGCGTGATGGTGGAGCTCTAAGGGTTAATCACCTTCTTCATGAACTAAATTACATTTTAAATGTCACTGAAATGTGTGGTACTTAGGGCCATGTATATGAACATTATTAAAAATAACCCTACAGAACATGACGGCAGCTACCTAAATAGAAGTCAACATATAACATTTAAATCAACACTTAGCAGGTCCACAGGCCTATGCTGAATGTGATTTTGTATTGCTCTGGTCAAGTGGTTATGTGACAATTCATTCTGACTCAGCCTACATGCAACCTTATTTTTATCTTTTACATCAAAATACAGCCAAACTGCACGGATTTTACAACATTTCACCCGTCTCTCTTTACACCTTGCTGGTTTACACCATCCGAGCATTAGCGTAGGTAGGATGGGGCTGTTGTCTTTTGACAGGTGGCTGCACAAGATCTTAAAAGCAACAGTACATGAATAAAATAACAATTAGTTTAATTGACTTGTATTTCTAGTGTCAACTCTTTGATGCTGGCACTTCTTTGATGTTGAGAGAAAGCAGTCCTTATGAAAAACAGAAAACTCATTTTCAGTTACTCTTTAATTTTAATTATTGATGATTTTTCAGTACTATTGCAAAGAAGAACACACTAACTTATTTTAGCAGTTTCTGAGTACTGGTACAAGGTGTTAACGTTGGTTAATGCATCAGTATTTAGAATATATTCAGGTTTTAAAAGTTTTGCATACAGTGATTTGTAAAAATGATCACTGTGAAATGCAAAGAATTCAAGAACTGGCACAGTCAGGTTTAAATTTTATCCTACGTAGGGCTGCAGTTGACATCAGAAATTCCCGTGATGAAATACAAGTTTCTTCTCTGATTCAGCAAACCAAACCAAACCTATTCAGGCAACTATGACAAAAGAGTGAGGAAAATAGTAGATATTCACATTTGAGAACCTGAAGCCTTTTTTTTTCTCTTCAATTAACAAGATTGTTGTTTCTGAATTTCTGAATCTTGTGCATTAGCATTGTATTTTTGTAGACTGGACAGTACATGAACAGAAACTGTCCTTGTAACATGTTTTTTCCCTTTCTGTGCTACCAGATGCCCCTCGGCAGGCAGTGCGTTGACCATTACCGTATGCTGCACCGGTACAATGTGTTCTCCCATGATGAGATGGTGTGCAACATGGCCTCAAAAGCAGAAACCCTCAATGTGGTGCTGGCCTCAGCTGTCCACAAGGACATGGTTTTCATGATCCAAGAGGAGAAGGAGCTGAGGGAGAAAGTGAAGAAAATGGTATGAAAGTCCTTGTTGTTATGTTAACACACCTTCATACTTGTGTAGATTTTGTGCCAAAACTTTGTAGCATGCAGGGTCTTTCTTTATTTTTTTCTCTTATAAAATCTTTTATTGCAGTGTTTGCCATTATGCAAAGCTATAACTCTTCTCGGTGTAGGCACATGTATGAATATGCCACTTTTACATAAGCTTTGTTGTTAGCTAGCAATGCGAACCTCCAGGCATTTTAGCAATTATATGTTAAATACAGTGCAGAGAGAAAAACCATGTTCACTCAAGCAAACACAGTCACCGTGTCGCGCTCTGCTGGGATTTGCTTTAAACACTTTTGTCGTTGTCGCACATCTTCAGGGAGTGTTGCACTGCAAAGAGGCAAAATACGATCACCTCCAGGACGACGAGCGGCAGTGTGCCAAGTGCAGGACCACCTGTTACCTGTCCGCCGTCACCTGCCCCTGTAACCCAGGAGTCCTGGTATGTCTGTACCACATCAACGACCTGTGCTCCTGCCACAGCAGCAACTACACACTGAAGTAAGTTCCACTGGGGATTTATGAATCATGATTCATTTTGCAAGTAAAAGTCTGGTTGTCCTGAGTTTGATTTGTTCATTTAATTAAACATGTGCCCCATAAATGAACACTTTTGTTTGCTGCTGCAGTTATAGATACACACTGGACGACCTGTTCCCCATGATGACCGCTGTGAAGCAGCGAGCTGAACTGTATGATGAATGGGCCTCCCGTGTGACAGAGACTCTCGAGGCTAAACTGGAAAAGAAGAAAGGTAAGCAGCAGGATTCAGTGAGAAAACAAAGCATTAAAGAACCATACCAATGGCTTAATGAAATGAAAAAAATACTTTATTTATCCCAGAAGGGAAATTCAATTTTAACATATTTACATTGTATAATAATACTTAATTTGTGTAGCAACTTTCATGCAACACATGCAACTCTAAGTGCTTTAACATTACAAATAAAATTAAATAGAAAATTTAAAAAGAAAATCTCTATGTATAAACATTTATAGAATACATATTGTTTAAAATACAGTAAGTCTAAAAAATAGAGAGATGAATGAGTAGGTGGTACTAGAAGAAAGTTAGGTTAAAAAGGTATCTTTATACGTGCCGTTCAAAAGTTTAAACAGAGCCTGGCTTTCTGGTATCCTTGGAATTAAATAGCTGAACGACTACCGTCTGCTTACAATTTGTGCCAACAATTTTCTCAAAACATGTAGCCATATTTCAGCTGTCCACATTTTCTAAATAACAATGTTTTAAGGTGACACACTCATCTTAATATTCGCAAAAATGAATGTTTCTGTCAGCATTTATGACTTTGCTCATAAAACAATCCTTTATCCTGGGACCATTAATAAAGGCCTTGTAGATACAAGAGATAAACAACTTTGTCAGCTTTATTGTGTACCTGCAAGATACCGCTAAATTTAGAGTGGTCTGTCACTCATAGAGAGTCATCTACTGCATGACGGCATCACTCCTTCAGCAGCAGCTTCATAATGTCTTATTCATAGCATCAAAGACACTGCTGTGAATTGGATAGTCTGTCATGTGTGGCATCTCCACCACCAGCTGCCGTCTACTGGCTTCAGAGGTTCCTGTGTTTTGGTGTGCTGTGACACGGCGCCAATGTCCCACCTTCCTCACGTTGCTTGCTTTAACACTCTGTCCCCCTCAGTGTATTTTGGTTCAGACTGATCATCGTTTGAGCCCCTCAGCATGATGTTCAGTCTTAGATGTTACATTTGAGAGACTCGCCAGAATCTGTGGGAGAATTCTGTATCGACAAAGATGGCGGTTGTATGGCACATGCCCACCCCTCCACAAGCCAATCCAGCACTATATAACACTTGAAACCAGGGAACTTCCAGCCAGTTGACATGTAAAACTGTGTTGTAAAACCGTGTACATACATAGTAGACTTTAATCTGTTGGGAAAGAACACTTTTAAACCTTATTTTGAGGCAAAGTCACCAAACTTTTAAAGCTTTTTTTTTTTTGCCCCTACAGATCTGACTGGTGACTCTAGCAGTTTTTATGTCCTAGCGACCATTACAATTGCATCTCTCTCCCCGTTCATATTAAACAGGGGCTTGGTTAACCCAAAGTAATTTAGGCTTTACCATGTGGCAAGACTCGCCTGTAAGAACTTTAATCCACTGTGTCGTATTTACTTGTGAATGCACCACTAGTTTGCAGTGAAAAATCTTTGCTAATTAGTTTTTGTTTACAAGTTTTTGTACAAGTTGTCTTGATCATCTATTGATAAAAGACATAAAGGAGTGGTGCGTTCATGTGTCTGGACCAGTTTCAACTGTCTCCACTCAGAAGTCAATGTAGTTCTTGTAGACAATTCAGTAATTGTAAAAAAGCAACAAAGCAAATGTGTTTTATTTATGATGTATATATGTAAGCGTGTGCATTTGATTTTGGTCGCCTGTAATGCTAGTTAAAAGCAGATAGGATTTACTGGGGTGATGAAATGATGAAAAACAAGCAGACATATAAAGTCAATAGTTGCTCGGTAGCATGTAAGGTTATTTAAACTGTGAGTGTTAAGTTGTGTATCAGACTGTGATTAACCAGGTGTTTTCTCTTCAGGCCTGCCGGTCTTTCGCACTCTTCTTTCTGAATCAGAGTCCAGGCTGTTCCCTGACAACGACCTGCTGCGTCGGCTTCGTCTGGTCACACAAGACGCAGAGAAATGCTCCTCAGTGGCGCAGCAGCTGTTGAACGGCAAGAGGCAGACCAGGTAATATCAACATGCCGTCAGATAGGCTTTCTTACATTTCGTCCGTGTTTTCAAATAGTATTAGTGCGTTCATGAGGTCTGTTTCTTCATTCAGGTATCGGTGTGGTAGTGGGAAGTCACGGAGCCAGCTGACTGTGGAGGAGCTGAGTTCATTTGTGAGGCAGCTGTATAACCTCTCCTGCAGCCTCCCTCAGGCGCCCATGTTGAAGGTGAGCGGAGGAGGGGAAATGCACCCCGAGTTGTTACTAGAGTTCAGTTAGATTCAAGCTCATAAGTAAAGTTTTAATTGGCCTGAACTCAAGAGACTGCGTCCTCACTGATGCTGACACACAAGGAGAAAGGCAGTGTTACTTGCAACAGAAAGTAAAATTTACAAGAAAAATCGCAAAGTGTCTTATCTTGTGACAGCAGCCATGACAGAAGTTAAACTGTGGAACTGGTTAAACTGAAATTCAACTGACAACATTTCAGAAAACTCCAGACCTGCCAGAATTGTTGGGCATGCTGGACTTTTGATTGTTGTGGCAGTAATCAGCTTTCATGACTTCCCTCCAACTTGCTGTTGTGGTGTTTAATAAATGTAATTATAATTAAAGCAGAAATCTGTTATGCGAAGGTATCAGTTTTGACTTTGTGTTTGAATGACATTGTCTGTCTTTAGGAACTCCTGAATCGTATCGAAGACTTCCAGCAGCACAGTGAGAAGGTCCTGGCAGATGAAGTCCCCAGTGTGGCTGAAATCCAAAGCCTGTTAGACGTCAGCTTCGACTTTGATGTGGACCTGCCGGAGCTGCCGCAACTGAGAGTGAGGCTGGAACAGGCTCGGTGGCTGGAGGGGGTGCAGCAGGCCAGCGCTCAGCCCGCCACCCTCACTCTGGAGACCATGAGGAGGCTCATAGACCAAGGAGTCGGCTTGGCTCCTCATCCATCCGTAGAGAAAGCCATGGCACGCCTTCAGGAGCAGCTTACTATGTCCGAGCACTGGGAGGACAAGGCGAGCAGCCTCCTTAAGGCCAGGTGAGGGCAGCACTGACTGATCCATGATGAAGTTTGCATCATAGCCAAAGGGTGGAACAACATCCAAAACATCAACAAACACACATTACGATAGGTTGTCATGCTCTGACAATCCAAGAAAAAAATGATTTCCAAAGATGTTACTTTGCTTCTTAGCTCTAACTTTCTTTCCAGGTATTTGCACTGGTTGTAACTGTGTAATGTAATAATACGTCAGTGCTCCTGATTTTGCTTCATTTTAATTCCATCTAGTGCAAAATGCTGCTGCTAGAATATTCAACAAGATCAACAAAAAGTGAGCATCATATTTAGTTCTGCCCTCATTCCATTGGTACTCAGTGCTGTTCAGTATTAACTGTCATAAGTGCTTTTAAAAGCTTTTAATGGCATGGCTGTCAGGAATGTGCATCTCCTCTCTCCATTATTAAATGAACTAGTTTGAAGACAGGACTTCAATTTCTACATTTTTCAAAAGGGTCTATCACACTGAACTTACTGCAGTATTTGGGTTTCACAGTATGTAAATTATTTTTTGAATTGATTGAAAATGAATATTATTAAATGACTGATAAATTCCTTACAAAGAGGCGTGGTTTGAAAAACAAGTGTAGGCCTAAGAAACTGTACAACTTTATTGCGGTTCATTAGTTTTGAAAGAGTTCTAAAATAAAGGTCTGAACAAATTTCATGACCGTTGTTGTTGATAATTAGTAGATAACATGAACTGATGCAGATATTGTGCCCAAGTTTATCACCTGCAATGTATCATTTGTGTTTTTTTTGTGCCCACCAGCCCACCACACTCCATAGAGACTCTTAGTGCTGCTGCTGAGAAGGCATCTGGTATCCCCGCTTACCTCCCAAACTGTCTTCTCCTGAAAGACACCATCAGAAAAGCTCGAGAGTGGCTTCAAGAAGCTGAGGAGCTTCAGGTTAGGATGCACATGGTACTGCATGGAATATCAGTCAACGTAACTCTCTGTACAATTGATTTGAGGGGGATTTAACACAAATATTGTGATTATTTCAGGCCACTGGTTGCATACCTCTGGTGGACAGCCTCTCTGACATGGTGCTACGAGGACAAGCCATTCAAGTCCACCTGGAGCCTTTAGACAGGCTGGAGACTTTCATGGTAGAAGTGCAACAATGGAAAGAATCAGCAGCAACAACTTTCCTTCCGAAAGACTCAACTCTTACCTTACTAGAGGTAAAATACAACAAATTTGAAATTAATATTAACTGAAAAATAATGCAAATATTATTAAAATCGCAATTATGGACAAATGTAATTTTCAAATCGCAGGAGCCACAGTTTTTTTGATAATGGTAAAATATGTCACAAAACAGCATTTAAAATTAAACAGATAGTTCTCAGAACATGCTTGTTTGGTACAGACTTCAGCAACTCGAATAAACTGACTCATATCACTGTTTCCATATCTCTTAAAACCCTCCCAATATGACTTCTAAAATGTTGTTCACCCCTGATCAGAACCACAAGATTTTTAGGGTTATAGTCTCTTTTTTTACATCTGCTAAAAATGTTTTATTTGTTTTTCAGCAGCCACCGTGTTTTTTGATTAGTTTTACCAGCATTTGATTTTGGAAGAATACTAATTCAGTGTGGTAGCTGATGCTTTGTGGCAGTACTGTGAAGAGAATCTGTCATCCTTCATTTTAAATATCAATGTAGCTGATCACACTGCTCAGCTGTTGCCATACTCGTAGCATAACCTGTCCTTATGGTAGTTTTGCCAGGTGATGACATGATAACACAGCACAGCACTGCCTGGTCAACATAGTATTTTTGAGTCACGATTAAATACCTCACTCTGTTGTCTAACAACAGAAACACAAAAATATGCAAACGAGTGGCAGCTATGTCAGGACAGGGGGGACAGGATTTTTTTTGTGTGTGTGTTAAAACAAAGTCAGTAAAAAATTAAATGTGTCATTAAATATTAATTTTAGGTCCAGTAATAAGTCAGATGATTGACTAGTTCATTAGTAGTAAATAAATAAACGACTTTGACAGTTGATTTAGTCATTTTTAATCAGAAATGTCAAATATTTTCTGGTTCTGGTTCTGGTTCTCATGTGTGAATTTAATGCTTTGTTTTGTCACACATGATAGCAACTGAATGTCTCTTGATTTTGCACTGTTCATCTGGCAAAACAAGACGTGAAGATGTGACCATTTTCAGCTAAATTCTGGACAAACAATTAATCTATTAGTTTTAGGAGTACTTAACAAATTATTTATTGAAATTAGTTGTTAGTTACAATCCTTGTCATTTGCCAGTACATGAAGTTATTCAGTCAGTCAGCCTTCAGAGGTGTGAGCTGCTCTGTTAAACGTACACATGCTGCATGAGGTTAGCGGCGTGAGACTAAAGTCTTATTTATGTTGTTCATTGCAGGTCCTGTGTCCAAGATGTGAAGTTGGAAATATAGGTTCTCCCAAGAGGAAGATCAAGAAAGGGAAAGAATCACCTAAAAGTAACAAAAAGAAAATGCCGAGGCTGAACACTCTCAGTGATGTGGAAAAAGCGCTTTCAGAGACCAAGGATTCTACCTCTGCAGTAAGTACAGTAATTTGAAAAGGTGATTTGGAAGTGTATGGCAGTAGTTACTAAGGTAATAAAAGAAAAGCTGTGGTGGTTAAACACAGATAGTAAACATTGTTGAGTAGGCAGAATTACAAACAAACAGGGACCGATTGGCTCGAAGAAGAAGAGTGACGTTGAAACTGTGAGTGATACGGCTGTAGACAAGCAAAACACATCTACGTCAACTGAAATTGCACCTACTATCAAGGAAAAACATGTTATTTCTGGATGAACTCAATAGGCACTTAGTGCACTCTACCTGCTGGCCTTATTAACCTAAATTATTTATAAATAAACATAAAAACTTATATTCACAGCATTTTAGAACAGTTCAAAGTTGTGAAAACATTCACAGGTAGTCTGTTTCTCTTGCTGCCAAAAGTAACAGATTAATCCCAGAAGGCTGTTGCTCTAGTGCTTTCCTCCATATGAAAGTAACAAAAATTGTTTAATTAAAGAGAATTTGGTCAATTGAGAGCATATTGACCAACAAACCAACTTGTCGACTTGGACATTACATCCCTGGTAAATGAACAGTTTGAGAGAACCTGAAAAAGTGGAAATGACAAAGAAAATAGAACAGCATGACTAACACTTATTCAGATATACGGTAATAATGCACCGCAAAGATACTCCTAAACTTTTTCCTAAGTTTCATAAAAGACTACAGTAGTAATGTGATTGCTGAACTTTGACGTTCAGGAACTGTACTGACTTTGTCTGTTATTCACTAGATGGCAACTCTGGAGGAGCTGCGAGCGAGGGAGATGGAGGCTTTCTCTAATCTCAGGGCAGCAAATGAGTCAAAGCTCCTTCCCACAGCGGACTGCATGGACCTGACGGTGTGTTTCTGTCAGAAGGCGCCCATGGGTGCAATGTTGCAGTGTGAACTCTGCAGGGATGCCTTCCACAGCGTGTGTGTCAGAGACCCTTCAGACTCCCATGAAACACAGCCATGGCTCTGTCCGCAGTGCCAGCGATCAGAAAAGCCCCCTTTAAGCAAAGTCCTCTCTCTGCTAGCATCTCTGCGGCACACAGGGGTCCGCCTGCCGGAGGGCGACGCCCTGCACTATCTGGTTGAGAGGACAATTAACTGGCAGCAGCGAGCACAGGAGATGACTCAGGCATGTAACCTACCAGAACTAGAAGAGAGACCAGGGACCCCTCCCACACTAACCCGCTGGGTGTCAGGCACCGACGACACTCACAACAACACTCAGGTCGCTCTTCATCTTTGTGCCACTTTTTCCAGCAGTTATTTATTTGCACATGTTAAGTTTTGGGGTTTGATGTTTTTGATACAGGCTCCTTGTTTGACTCCGGAGTGGAATAGGACAAGCCATGCTCAGACTGTCTTCTACACCGAGCAGAGATGCATACCGCTGCAGGGTCAGTCTTGTTTTACTCAGAGCTTCAGCCCTGACTAAGTAGAGACTCATGTTTTCTTCACGGTTGGTTAATTTTCCTTTTCAGATGATTACTTTTTAAGCTCTATGTGTTTGCGTGTGTTACAGGCCTGAGTCAGGAGCTAGAGGAGCTGATGGTGGAGGGGCTCCTGCTGCAGGTGTCTCTGCCAGAGGTCCAGAGCCTTTACCACATTCTACTGGACAGAGCCAGCAGCCAGCACTCAGACATATGCATGTCGCCATCGCAGGAAGAGTCCGCAGACAAACACATGCAGTTTAACTCTCAGGGAACAAATCTGCCACTGAACCAGGTACAAACTGTTGCCACGAAAAGAACTGATTAAAATCCTCAAAGCTTCCTCAATATGAGTTTTATCGTATTGATTTTATTTTCAGGATGGCGCCAAGACCATGAGGGAAACGGTGATGGGCTCTGAAAAGAAAGCAAAGAGGCATCTGGAGAGGGAAGGTTTAGATGCTGAGCGCAGGGGGAAAGACAAGAAGCACTCTCACAAAAGACAGAAGATGAATAAAAAGAACCCTCAGCGCAGATCGGCCTCGACCTCGTCTTCCCCGCGCTCTGATTTCTCCCAGTCTGATGACTCTGATGAGGAAATGGCTGTGTGTCCAGCAGAGAGGTGTCAGCTGCCGGAGGGGGATGAGGTAAGAAGAAATCTGCAAGGTCTTGACTGAACATATGAGAGGAGTGTTTAGAGGGCTATTATGTAAATGTAGAATGATTCATACAGTAGACTAATTTAAGGTTAACAGCTGTGAATATTGTCAATATCTTTATGAAGAATGAATCACATGACAACCAATTTGTGAATGTTATCATTCATACAGCTCTCAGGACTGAAATTTCAGCTCTGTGTGGCGGTTCAGTGTCTTTCAGCTCATTGTTTAGATTTAACTGTAGCTTTGCTGCTGTCATTCAGTCTCACCACCTTCACAGAGTCATTTTCAGCAGCAGGCAGCTGTTTGCAGCAACAAATCTATAAAAATCCCCAGTACACAACCTGCTCTGCACCAAATGTGGTTAAAATACTTGCTGGTGAACATAGTGGAGTAGTTGCAGCAGATAATTTGCTCAGAGAAGAATGATTGTGTTTATACATACATGACTCTCATTATGGTGCTTAGCCTGGTTTTAATTTCTATAACGTTTCTATAAAGCACAGAGAAATCTCATTATTCATACCCCATTCTTTTAATCATTAGCCGAACCTTCAATTAATTTTACTCTGGCTAAAGAAAATGAGGCCACTTTGGCTCATAGCGAGCTGAACAACATGGCGTTGTTGATTTCATTGAGCATGGAGGAGACAATTTAATTTATCCTCCACATTGACCAGTGTCAGACTGTCACCATATCTGTGTAGCACAGTGGTGTGGTGGATGAAGATGACTGTTATCAGTGACCCCAAGCGGTTAAAAAAATGACCGTGTGAGTGGAACATCATTTACTAGCTGTGTGACACAGTTGAACCGTTCATGAGACCAGAGGAAACAACAGTTCGTGCACCAGTTCCCGTCTATGAGAGTGGTCATAGCAGTAGTTGCATCAGCACATGACCTAATGCTGTGGTCGATCATGTTCATTGAAGTATGAGAAGCCAAAGTCGTATTCGCTGTTAATATTTGAACATTTTTGCAGCCCTAGCCGGCGTTAGCCAATGGGATTGAATGTAGTGGGATACTTTTTACTCTTAAATGACTTGGTCGCTCCACCTGCATTTTGATCATCAGGTTTTGGTGTTTTTTTAAATGCAGATGATGTAAAACGCAGGTTGTTTTATCATTGGAACATGGCTAAACGGATTGTAGGCTGTGAAGAAAAAGTGCTACTACTGCTAGCATAGTAACTGCCTGTACCAGCCAGAAAGGCACTAAATCAGCCTTATGATCATCATGCACATGGAAAATTCACTCATACACACTCAACAGAAGGCTGCATATGCGACCATTTTGGTGGCAGTCTGAAGCTGAAGGCCGTAAACATTCTGTTGTTGCAGGTTTGTTATTAAATGGTTTTTTCCTGCAGGTGAACTGGGTCCAGTGCGATGGCAGCTGCAACCAGTGGTTCCACCAAGTGTGTGTTGGTGTTACAGCGGAGATGGCCGAGAAGGAGGACTACATTTGCGTCACATGTACACTGAATGACGGACACATGAGAAAATGAAGAGAGAGCAGAAGTTTAGCTGAAGTTTGCGTGTCCTCAGTCCTTTATTGGAGCCTCCAGTCTGGATGTGTCACTGATCCCGATCCCCTCCTCACCCCCCCCAGTCCCGTCTGTCCAACCCTTTTGTAACAACGGTGCTATCTCCTCTTTGACTTGTTGTCCAGAACTATAATGTTTAGTTATTTTTTTGTATTTTTACATATATATATTATATATATTTCTTTCTTCTTATGAATTGTTTGTGGTTGTCTAAATGGAAAAAAAAACAACAAAAAAAAAACACAGGACGTGAAGTGTGCTGCATGGGATCCCATTACATCGGCGCAAAAGAGTCTTACACAGTGAGACTCCCGGTAAAGAGAGTTAATCAAGGGTTAATATTATCTTCTTTGGAACCTCCTTGCATGTTAAACCAGAGCTAAGGGGACAGAAGTCGAGGTTTTCACCCCCTAAACACCCCCAAAAAATGACTATTACAGTTTTTTTTTTTCTTTGAAATCCAGTGTTTAGTACATGCATCTTAATATAATTATTCCCTTTTTTGTAGAATAGTTTTATTTATCTGAGCAATAATTTTTGTCTGAATTGACTTAAATGGCTTGATCTCCGCTGAGTTGTGTTTTAGCGATGGTGGTGTGATGTACAGAGAGCTACCAGGTGGGAAGGTCAGAGCGGTGGAGACGCGCCGTAGCAGGCTGAAGGAAAAAGACGCTGCTGACGTGTAGATCAACGACATGTAACCCGGCATAGGATACAGCTGGAAGGACTCGGGGTAGCTGAAGATGTTACAAGTTTATATTGTGGAATAAAGCCCTTTTGTTCTATGGAGAAGTCTCGTTCTTTCACTGGAACATAGTCGAAAGAAACCACTAGATGTCCTCGCAAACATGATTTAAAAACACTTTGGATCAGTTAAATTCACGCCTTTTGCATAGTCTGTATTCATACTGTTGGTAACTGTAATGAAACGTTCTGGTGAAAAAAGACACAAAGTGGAAAGTACATTTACTCAAGTACTGTACTTAAATACAAATTAAGGTACTTGTATTTTTCTGGAGTCGTCTTATTACATTCTCTATGCCACTACATTTGTTTGACAGTAAGCTGAGTCATCAATCAGTGAATGCAAGTAGAGCTTGATTAATTGACCAGTCAGCTGACACAAATTGAATTGGCAACTATTTTGCTGAACATTGAGGATTAGTTGCTTTTTTTTTAATGTATTTAATCCTTTTGATTTAGTGAATTTGAGACTTTTGTGCAGAAAATGTTCTTGTCGAGTGATATTGCTCTCAATAAACTGCAAGGACGTTTAAAATACAACTAATGATTTTCTCTAAAGGACTTTCCTTCCTTTGCTAAGCATGAGGTCAATCATTTGATCACTTAAGACTTATTGTTGCTCTTTGCAGTCAGTACTTCAGGGAATTATTTAGTGTTACTGGTAGAAACGTAATGAATACAGGCTCACATCTCAAAAGACAAACATGGGGCCCATATCAGATGAAGATCATCTTCCTCAACAAACACCAAACATTAATTCCCATCAGACTACTGAAGCGTTTACAACAGTTATATAGAATCCACATGCTCCCTTTGGATCGCTATCTGAAGTGTAACGACAGGGAGTGAAGTTCACTGAATGAAACTGAAGATAAATTCAATTTCTTCACTGGAAGCTGCAGACTTTTTAAAGATGATCATATATACAAAGATTATTTTGCACTGTCCCAAAGCATGACAGAATCTGGAGAAAGGCTGCTTTATATCACAGTACTGTTGGTGCTTCATTTTAATCTCTGGATTCAAAGGTTCATCACCACGTTGAAAATTTTAGGTCACCATAAAACTATGCACGTTATTCCATAGTAGAGGCACTTGAGTATGATCAGATGATTCATAAGGACATGTAATGTTTACTGACCATTTCACTGTCTTCACAGTTTAACAGGTAAAAACCTTTCTGTTACTAATTGCCACTCAGCTCCTAATTAGTTGACACTGAAGGAGGATCAAAATATGACAAATGACAGAAAGAAATATAAAATGATCTCAGGAAGGTAATAGTCTAATAGCCAGAGCTCAAATTTCTTTTTTTCGCTTTCCACTTTTCACTAATTATTTCTCTCTGGAGTGTATATAATGAGATCTAGTGTGGTGTGGACGTGTCATCCATGAGCAGTTTTAAACATTCAAGATGATGTGTAAAACAACTAAACTCTACAAGGTAATTCCAGAGACCTATTCATAGCACTTACTCAAATCTATGTAGCAAGATAGAATAATTGATTTATTAACTTAGACAAAGCCTATAAGTTGCAACCTTTATTTTGAAGGGTTGTGTTGATATGATGTTGGTAATTACATCAACTTAATATTGTGTGTACTTTAAACTCAAAGGTGTTCTTTCTGTTTTTAAGATAAACATAATATGTTCAAATACACAACTGCAGTTCTATTTTTATTTTTATTTAATCAGGCAACAATTTGCTGTTGAGTGACTTAATATCTTCAAAGCTACTACATGAAGAAAAACATACAAAAAAGAAACTTAATTTTTATGTTTGTGAATTTAAAAACTTGTGTTTATAATTACAGCAATTAGTACATAATTTTTTTTTAAAAAAACACCTAATGTACAAAAAGATTGACATAAAATTGCTAAATTAGTGTCTCTTGTTGAGCCCATTATTTTTTAGAGTGTACTGCAAAGGACTAAAATTCAAAACTTTCTATTATTTACATGTTTATTGCTACAAAGCAATAATGTTTTGGTCAAGATATGTGCTTTGGGTCCAATGGATTCAATAGAAAATGTTTGAGAAGTATTAGGTGCACAGTTGCTATGGTAACTGGCAATATGGCTACGAATAAGGCTGTAAAATGTGGGGAAAATGGAAAAACTGTGGATAAATTTCAAGAAAATGTTATATAATGAAACAATCATAATAACGTCTTATTTTCTGAGCATGTAAAATTGACTAAAATAAAATCAATAAAAAGGAAGAATGAGACATTATGTCATGGTCGTTATTGTCGTCTGCTTGTAGAGCCTTTGTTGTTCTGTTGAAACAATCCTGTCCACCCTGATGTGCGCAGAACAATGAGCCAGCAAGGTTTGCACTGTCACAACCACACCTACTCATCTGACATCTGACTATGTTCTACTTGAATATTTAAAGTTGCTCAAGAGTGACAGGCTGCCGCGGTACAAGATACAATATACAGGAGCATGAAAAAGTCTAACAACACGTCAAAAATGTTTACATTAACTTAAAAATACTCAGAAAGTCTGAGGAAGTTATACATTTCTGACAAGAAATATTGAAGATTCTTCTCAAATTTTATGGTTTCCAGCATTTAGATGACTAATCAAGTTCAAGTTCAAAAATCTTCAATATCCCCGTGGGGAAGTTTTTGTGCAGCCAGCAATGAGACAGTCACTGCCACAATCACACATGCAAAAACAACAAAAAACAACAGAGAAAAGACAAGACCGATCACTTGTTTAACAGGGAAATAGCAGCAGGGACAAAAGAAAATGTAAATCTATTGGTCCTGCACTTTGGCAGGACATACCTGCGCCCCAGCGGATCAGAAGCTTGTTCAAGGAAGTCAACCTGCAGCTCTTGTTTACCGACAATTAATACGACTGCTTCAAGTTTCCAGCAGAATGCTACTGGTTGTGATGGTGGGGAAACATGGCATCAGAGCTAAGTAAAAGTGTCAGAAGCTGTTATTCTGAGCACAATGGAGCTTTCTCAGCATCGTATCGTGGCTGGACTTAAGGTTTCTGAAGGAGCAGTGAAGGAGTTGAACAACACTTCCTGGATGCTGCATCAACTTCAACACAGAGACAGAAGTCAAGACTCCCATCAGCAGAAGTCCTGTCAAAAGAAGCTGTGTGGTGGCTACCGAGGATGAGTCTCTAAACCACGTCTCAGGAGGAGAAATAAGACCAAACACTTCAGGTGCAGCTACCAGCATTTTACATTGGGAAAAAAAAGCCTTTTTACTGATGAATTCAAGTCAGAGGTTTGCGAATGTGAGGAGATGAACAGGAGAGAGTATGAGTCAGAAGAAGTGAGAAGCTTGATAATGTGAGATGGGGAAAGGTGAGTGATTTAAAAACGAGCTGTAAAAATATACAGCCTGGTCCCGATACAGGGGCCTCTGAGGTTGACGTCTCACTAACTTTCTTATTAACCTCCTCTCATTTGAAAAACCAACTTTTGGATACTTGCAGGTAGTAATTTCTGAAGTGTTCGCTCTGAGCTGACAGACAGTTAAGTCCTCTTTATTCCAGCTTTTCTGCAGCTACAAAAAGCTGCAGAAATGTGCAGGATTTAACCGAGGAAAAGAAAAATACAGCTCTCAAAAAGCCGAAGGTGGACGCTCCTGTCACGTTTCTGTTCGTCCTCCTCCGTCTATCCTCGTTTCTTTTATCCAAAGGGAAGAAGACCGGCAGACATCAGGAGAAAGAGGAGAGAAAAACTACAGGGATCAGTTGTTGGACTTTGTTCCAACAGAAAAAGCAGACATGATTTAATTATGTTACATGAACACAGCAATTTAATAATTTGATGGGCTTTCATAAGATGAGGTGAAATATTTCCAAATCTGTTGAGGAGCAGTGCATATACTGCACGTTACATCTGTTTGTTCTGTCTAACAGGTCAAACAGGTACATTAAAACAAATATAAGTGTCTCTTTATAAAGTGAGTCTGCCAAGTCAGGCTCATTTTAATTATACAGTTCAATATAATGATGATAAATATGCCTCAAGGGGCTTTGTAATCTCTAAAGTATGCAACAAGACTGAGTAAACCGCAGTTTTTTCACATCATAAATAATATTTAATCTTGTTAGGTAAATTCTTACTTATTGCTCTACTGGAAAGCACTTCAGCTCAACGGCTGTTTAAAATGTGTGAACTTGACTTAACTGTGTAATTTCCTTTAAATGTCAAATAATACAACAGTTATATTCGAACTGAGGTGTAATTAAAACTGATGGACTGACCTCCTCAGAATCAGCTAATGTTAAGCATATCCAGTAAAGCCATGTGGGGTTTTATCCTCATGATATGACTATTTTCAGGGTTACAGGCCCTTGAAGTACATGGGGACGGGTCTCTCACAACATCAGTACGTTAAATAGCCACATGAAAATTTCAAGGATAAAAAACAGATCAGAGCTCTGCTAAAAACAAATCCACCTTACATCCACTCCAGGTGTCACAATCTAAAGCCTTAAATTGTGATATAGCCCATGATGTCATATTTTGCGCTGAACAAAAACAACATTTTGGCTTTAGACTGTGACAGCTGGGAAACTTTATGTGTCCATCTAATGTGCTTGTGAAGTTATGTGGGTTCAAAAGCAATGTGAATTAAAACATGCAAAACTTTGACCCTCATCTATGTACTTCAAGGGCCTGTAACTCTAAAAAAAAATTACATTGTATGAAGGTAAGATTTTGTGTGGCTTCAATACAGCTGCTGAAATTATTGTGAAAGAAACCATCTGATTCTAAAGTGGTTCTGATTCTTTTCATTGGAAATAATGTCCCCACAGTATAAGTAACTTCCAGTTGGGGATGTGAATGATTTGTTTAAACAACAATACGTCCACTGGAGACAATTCAAATTAATGCTGTCTCCCATTCTGTCGACTTTACTCATAGTCTAATCTTAGGCCTGCCACTCATTAGTTTCATATCTCCAGTTTATGACTGTGGTAATAACTTTTTAATTTACTTGAATAAAGGCAGGAACATTTTGTTTGGCAACACTGTCCAGCACATCAAATGATATTCACAGTCA